AACCCTGGTAGTCACAACCCTCGTGCCTTCTGCCTGGAATCCAGAGTAAGGGTAGCCCAAAAATTGCCTTCTCAGCAAGACCCCCTCACTCGGAACGTTCTTTTCCCTTTCTTTACCTGGTCCGCTACCACTAGGATAAGGGGTGTATACATTAGTTACCCCTCCTTTTCAGCAATTTCGTGGGCTCAGGACAGCATCCAATGGTGGAAAGGCCGCCCCGGCTTTGCTCAATCTACGCCCTTCCTTGATGCCCTCTAATTTGCAGAGATAGAGATTGTGCAATACTGGGAATGGTGAGCAGTCCTTGTTTCTTTAGAAAGCCGCAGAGTCATCCCTACATGATACGGTTTCCCTTCATACTGGACATTCCGTATGGGCGGAGCCGAGTCTACCGTCGTAGTTTCCTCACTGGTGCCTTACCCTGGTAACAACCGCTGTGAAAAGGGTCACCATTGAGAATGAGAAATGCAGCTGCACTACTACAACCATAGAAAAGGTGGATGTCGGGCGCATTAGTGAGGAATGCATAAAGATAGGCCTAGCAGGCGCTTATATCCGTAAACGTAAACCAGCTCCTAAGCGCCAACTCCCTCGCTTTCGTGTAAGACCCTAACGTCCCTCCCAGCAGGTGAAATATGCTTTGCTAAGGCGTCTACCCTACACACTGCGACTGGGCAGTGTCGTGACTACTCACTGCTCAGCCGGGAACACTCCATTTGCATGGAACATGTTGAATTCGGCATGTGTGAGCAAAAGGAGAATCGCTTGTGCGTCGACGTCAAGAACCATTTGCCAGAACTCCGCTCCACTCTCTCGATTCGGAAGTTGGGTGAGGATTGCCTGAAATGTTGCTAGCACTACTCAAAAGTGACTCATCCATATTTCAAGACAAGGGGGCGTACCTTCTTGCTGGCGGTAATATTCACCCAACTAGCGTGAATATACGAGCCACAGCCGAGTCGAACTCGAGTCTGATCAATGCACACAATATCTAAAGCACTGTATTGTAGGGAAAGGACGGAATAATTTTCTTCAGTCGGTCACCAAAGTAGTCCAGAGGATGAAGGCAAAGTCACACTCGTCCGCCGCATCGGAAACATGCCTATCAGTCACTCCCGGTACAGGGGCGAGAGGGCAGGAGAGGGAACAGCAAAAGATAAGTGAGGTAGTTCAGTCTGCCTCTCAATCTCCCTAGTAGCCCCCTCTAATGAGACAAATCGTACACACACATTTAAGGACGAGTGCCATCTCCATACTCCGCCCGCGCTAACTTCAAGCTGTAGAACTTGCGTCGATACCAAGGTCCCGCAGCGAAAAAGCACTCAGCGTCAGAGAACTACCAGAGGTGAGAGGGCGCAGACAAATAGCGCGTTCGGCTCTGGTCAGGCGTGTGTCTGGCCGTACGGTAGCACGGGCGGAGTACTGAGACAGCACGTAGGTATCTGCTCTCCAGCCCCGTTCCCGTGTACTTTCGAGGGGAAAAAAGGTACGCTACTGCAGTTATAGGCCCAGTCTCCCACACACGGCAAGCGTCGGATTCACGGAGGTGAGTGTACAGCTTTGTCTCTAACGAGTAACGCACGAACCCATGCCACAACTGCGTTGAGCCTCAGCCCTTCTACGATTTCTAGAGCATTTTTTTATGGAAGATTTCACACACCTTCGAATCGATTCTTCTCTGGGTTAGCATCGAAGGCGATTCGCGTGGCCATGGGCGGCAAAAACCCACGAATGGTACGGAATTCGTTCTGAATTGGATAGAAGAAGTTGGAATAACGGTACGGAACGAGTCGAACCGAAATTGGAACAAATAGAGCATCGTTAAAACCAACCACCATGCCCTCTGAACCCCCATCCAACGTCTTTTCCATGTACGTCTTCCATTTCGTCCCTTTGTCACACGAGATCTTGTCTGCAATTGCATCGATCCTCAAACGACAGACTCGGCTGGGGTACGCGCGCGATCGCGTCGCTACTTGCAGAAGATTGCGACGCTTCCCTTTCATTGTGCTGCACGTGACGCGACCGCGCGCGTCTTTGAGCCGCGAAAGATCGAGTGGAGCAAAAACAGCTTATCAATATTTACTGACCATCCATTTTCTCTTTCCTCGTTACTTCGTCCGATGGGAATTGTGGTTGACTAGGAGTGGGTGACGGGGTGAAGCCGGTACCGTACACATCCGTGGCGGCTACACCTGTGGTGGTGGTAGGTGTAGGACCCGTCGTTGCAATCGTTGTTGCAGGAGTTGCAGTGGCAGTAGTGGTGGGTGTTGCCGAAGGTGCTGACGCCGGCGTCGTGGTAGTCGCAGTGGCGGGAGGACCCGCTACTTCAAGTCCCTCTAGTGGCGGTATGTTGACATCAGGAGCTGGCTGCGCCGGCGGATAAGCAGTGCCCGGATAAGGAGTGTCTGAAATGTAAAAGGTTACTTTTCTGAAAAGGAGCTCGACTGGGAAGATTTGAAAGGTATTCACCAAATTGTTGTGGAGCAGGCTTCTGTGCTGGTGGCACTCCCGCTCTCGGGCCTCCACGCTGCGCTCCAGGGGCAGAAGCTACGGCTGAAAATAGTTCTATCAGTCAGCATATAATGAAAGCGTGACGAAAACGCCACTTTATTCAAAATATCTATTGATTTCTCGTGGTATTTCGGTATTTAAGATTCCGAACCTTTCCGCCATAAAATAGCTAGGGGGTGGGCGATCACCCACGTCATGTCTTTCTCAGCGCCCTCTCACCGAGACAGTGTCCAAGATAGTAATGACGTGATCCCCGGCATATTTGGTGCAGAAAACCCGATTAAGAATGTTTGAAAACAGGGCGTTGAAATCCCCAGCGGGCCCGTCTTCAGCCTTGGAAAGATCTTCTCCGATCGTTGATTTTTCCCGTTCCACGCGCACTATCTACCCCCCCCCCCAGCTCTACCCTTGCCCTTCATTACACCTCCACGAGTTATAATGCTGTTCTTGAACACAATCAAACGATTCGGCGGAGCCGCCGTTCCAGGAAAATGTGCACCGAAGAATCAGATAGATATCGCTCAGTCGCTGATGTTTTCAATGAAAAAAGGAGAATAGGATGATCTCCGACTGCGTGCTGAGACGTCTTGAGATAGCGACCGTCTGCACTGCGTTATAAACGATGCTGTTTTGTAAGCGCTTTGCAGCAACTGCTATTAGGTTGGACGGAAAGTCCTGCGACACTTTGATTGAATGTTCTAGAAAAAGACCAAAAAACATTTCGAATGTTTTCATCCCTGATTAGTGGAGACTGTCCTCTGGGGTTTCTGCACATGGGTATATCATGACTTTGTGGAAGTTTTCAAAGCTTAAAAGTCCCTCAGAGATCGAGGTACTTTTCGACCTATCCCATATTATGAGTTCCTGTAGGGCCACTCCGCCGTAGTCGAGGAAGCTAACACTACGCTTGTCTTGATATTGCTTGCCATGGCATTGCCATGGCAGAGAGTAGCTTTTGCATCAGCGCTTCCAAGCTGGACTTATTTAATTCGGAGGTAGGCAATGTATAGGTCGGCCACCAGCACAGAATGACGCTTACTCAAGCTTCTTGAGGCGCAGCCGAACGTAAGTTGGCAACCTCTCTAGGCTCCACCTAACTGACAACTGCCATGCTTCTCCGCAATCTCGGTTATCGGAAAATTTTTTGTGAAGGATGCCTCATGAGTTGGACCCGTCTGACAAGTCATACCGAATGACCGTGACTGAGTTTTCTTTCTTGTACACACTGAAAGAACATTTGTGAGATCTTGTGGTTGGTAGCGAGTGGTGGAGTCCTTGCGTACATCATGCACATGTCCCTCGCAGGATCTCTCAAACAGAAAAGTAGATTGCTTAGCCAAAAACAGATGTGCATGGGATAAAGATT